GAACAACCTTTTTCGCAGGAAAACAACTTCGAAAAAAGCAGCTCCCGGCAGGAAAACACCATGGCTCTGAAGGACGAGCTAGTTCCAAAACCACGCCAAAAAAGTGCCTAACGTCCCGTCTGAAATCCTAGAAAAACAACTTTTTTCGAGAATTTCTGTTGCCTGCGGCCGCTCGCAGGAAAACAACTGCGAAAAAAGCAGCTCCCGGCAGGAAAACACCATGGCTCTGAAGGACGAGCTAGTTCCAAAACCACGCCAAAATAGTGCCTAACGTCCCGTCTGAAATCCAAGAAAAACAACCTTTTTCGAGAATTTCTGTTGCCTGCGGCCGCTCGCAGGAAAACAACTGCGAAAAAAGCAGCTCCCGGCAGGAAAACACCATGGCTCTGAAGGACGAACTAGTTCCAAAACCACGCCAAAAAAGTACCTAACGTCCCGTCTGAAATCCTAGAAAAACAACCTTTTTCCAGAATTTCTGTTGCCTGCGGCCGCTCGCAGGAAAACAACTTCGAAAAAAGCAGCTCCCGGCAGGAAAACACCATGGCTCTGAAGGACGAACTAGTTCCAAAACCACGCCAAAAAAGTGCCTAACGTCCCTTCTAAAATCCTAGAAAAACGACATAAAACAACATAAAACAACTTTTTTCGAGAATTTCTGTTGCCTGCGGCCGCTCGCAGGAAAACAACTTCGAAAAAAGCAGCTCCCGGCAGGAAAACACCATGGCTCTGAAGGACGAACTAGTTCCAAAACCACGCCAAAAAAGTGCCTAACGTCCCTTTTGAAATCCTAGAAAAACAACATTTTTCGAGAATTTCTGTTGCCTGCGCCCGCTCGCAGGAAAACAACTTCGAAAAAAACATAAAAGTAGCTCCCGGCAGGAAAACACCATGGCTCTGAAGGACGAACTAGTTCCAAAACCACGCCAAAAAAGTGCCTAACGTCCCTTCTGAAATCCTAGAAAAACAACCTTTTTCCGAAAACAACTTCGAAAAAAGCATAAAAGCAGCTCCCGGCAGGAAAACACCATGGCTCTGAAGGACGAACTAGTTCTAAAACCACGCCAAAAAAGTGCCTAACGTCCCGTCTGAAATCCTAGAAAAACAACCTTTTTCGAGAATTTCTGTTGCCTGCGGCCGCTCGCAGGAAAACAGCTTCGAAAAAATCACCTCCCCGGGGGGAAAACACCAGGGCTCTGAAGGACGAGCGAGTGCCAGAACCACGCCAAAAAAGTGCCTAACGTGTCGTCTGAAATCCTAGAAAAATCTAGATTAGATTTTTGGTAGGCTGCTGGCTACTGGCTGCTGGCTACTGGCTGCTGGCTGCTACTGGCGCTGGCTGCTAGCTACTGGCTATGTGCACCTTTTGCGTGCTCTTGCCCACGTTCTTGACACCCATTAGTGCCATCCTAGAAAAACGCAATTTTTCGTGCTGCTAGCTGCTGCACTGCTACCATTGCGCTTACTGCTGCTGCGTCTACTTGTGTCTGCTGCTGCCTGCTGCTGCCTGTTGCCTGCTGTTTGCTGCTGCCTGCGGGCAGCTCCCCTTTGCGTCGGCCGGTCCCGTCTGAAATCCCAGAAAAACAACTTTTTTCGAGAATTTTTGTTGCCTGCGGCCGCTCGTAGGAAAACAACTTCGAAAAAAGCAGCTCCCGGTAGGAAAACACCATGGCTCTGAAGGACGAACTAGTTCCAAAACCACGCCAAAAAAGTGCCTAACGTCCCTTCTGAAATCCTAGAAAAACAACCTTTTTCGAGAATTTCCGTTGCCTGCGGCCGCTCGCAGGAAAACAACTTCGAAAAAAGCAGCTCCCGGCAGGAAAACACAATGGCTCTGAAGGACGAATTAGTTCCACAACCACGCCAAAAAAGTGCCTAACGTCCCGTCTGAAATCCTAGAAAACAACCTTTTTCAGAATTTCTGTGCTGCGGCCAGCTGCAGGAAACAACCTTAGAAAAAAACATAAAACAAGCTCCCGGCAGGAAAACACCATGGCTCTGAAGGACGAACTAGTTCCAAAACCACGCCAAAAAAGTGCCTAACGTCCCTTCTGAAATCCTAGAAAACAACCTTTTTCCGAAAACAACTTCGAAAAAAGCATAAAAGCAGCTCCCGGCAGGAAAACACCATGGCTCTGAAGGACGAACTAGTTCTAAAACCACGCCAAAAAAGTGCCTAACGTCCCGTCTGAAATCCTAGAAAAACAACCTTTTTCGAGAATTTCTGTTGCCTGCGCCCGCTCGCAGGAAAACAACTTCGAAAAATAAATAAAAGCAGCTCCCGGCAGGAAAACACCATGGCTCTGAAGGACGAACTAGTTCCAAAACCACGCCAAAAAAGTGCCTAACGTCTCTTCTGAAATCCTAGAAAAACAACATAAAAACAAAGAAAAACAACATAAAACAACATAAAACAACCTTTTTCGAGAATTTCTGTTGCCTGCGGCCGCTCGCAGGAAAACAACTTCGAAAAAAGCAGCTCCCGGCAGGAAAACACCATGGCTCTGAAGGACGAACTAGTTCCAAAACCACGCCAAAAAAGTGCCTAACGTCCCGTCTGAAATCCTAGAAAAACAACATTTTTCGAGAATTTCTGTTGCCTGCGCCCGCTCGCAGGAAAACAACTTCGAAAAAAACATAAAAGCAGCTCCCGGCAGGAAAACACTATGGCTCTAAAGGACGAACTAGTTCCAAAACCACGCCAAAAAAGTGCCTAACGTCCCTTCTGAAATCCTAGAAAAACAACCTTTTTCCGAAAACAACTTCGAAAAAAGCATAAAAGCAGCTCCCGGCAGGAAAACACCATGGCTCTGAAGGACGAACAACCTTTTTCGCAGGAAAACAACTTCGAAAAAAGCAGCTCCCGGCAGGAAAACATCATGGCTCAGAAGGACGAGCTAGTTCCAAAACCACGCCAAAAAAGTGCCTAACGTCCCGTCTGAAATCCTAGAAAAACAACATTTTTCGAGAATTTCTGTTGCCTGCGGCCGCTCGCAGGAAAACAACTGCGAAAAAAGCAGCTCCCGGCAGGAAAACACCATGGCTCTGAAGGACGAACTAGTTCCAAAACCACGGCAAAAAAGTACCTAACGTCCCGTCTGACATCCTAGAAAAACAACCTAACGTCCCGTCTGAAATCCTAGAAAAACAACCTTTTTCGAGAATTTCTGTTGCCTGCGGCCGCTCGCAGGAAAACAACTGCGAAAAAAGCAGCTCCCGGCAGGAAAACACCATGGCTCTGAAGGACGAACTAGTTCCAAAACCACGCCAAAAAAGTACCTAACGTCCCGTCTGAAATCCTAGAAAAACAACTTTTTCGAGAATTTCTGTTGCCTGCGGCCGCTCGCAGGAAAACAACTTCGAAAAAAGCAGCTCCCGGCAGGAAAACACCATGGCTCTGAAGGACGAACTAGTTCCAAAACCACGCCAAAAAAGTGCCTAACGTCCCGTCTGAAATCCTAGAAAAACAACCTTTTTCGAGAATTTCTGTTGCCTGCGCCCGCTCGCAGGAAAACAACTTCGAAAAAAACATAAAAGCAGCTCCCGGCAGGAAAACACCATGGCTCTGAAGGACGAACTAGTTCCAAAACCACGCCAAAAAAGTGCCTAACGTCCCTTCTGAAATCTTAGAAAAACAACATAAAACAACATAAAACAACCTTTTTCGAGAATTTCTGTTGCCTGCGGCCGCTCGCAGGAAAACAACTTCGAAAAAAGCAGCTCCCGGCAGGAAAACACCATGGCTCTGAAGGACGAACTAGTTCCAAAACCACGCCAAAAAAGTGCCTAACATCCCGTCTGAAATCCTAGAAAAACAACATTTTTCGAGAATTTCTGTTGCCTGCGCCCGCTCGCAGGAAAACAACTTCGAAAAAAACATAAAAGCAGCTCCCGGCAGGAAAACACCATGGCTCTGAAGGATGAACTAGTTCCAAAACCACGCAAAAAAAGTGCCTAACGTCCCTTCTGAAATCCTAGAAAAACAACCTTTTTCCGAAAACAACTTCGAAAAAAGCATAAAAGCAGCTCCCGGCAGGAAAACACCATGGCTCAGAAGGACGAGCTAGTTCCAAAACCACGCCAAAAAAGTGCCTAACGTCCCTTCTGAAATCCTAGAGAATCCTAGATCTAGATCTCTAGATCTATCCTAGATCTAGATCTAGATCCTAGTTCGGGAATCCTTGCTAGGCCAGCTGCTTCGGCCGAATCCCCCAGAATCTCCTAAACAATATTACAGCTAGGCCTGCTGTTTCGAAGCGGTTCCGAAACAGCAAAACACCACCTAATTTCGTGCCGAAAATAGCGAAAAATCGCGGCTTCGGGAATCCTTGCTAGGCCAGCTGCTTCGGCCGAATCCCCCAGAATCTCCTAAACAATATTACAGCTAGGCCTGCTGTTTCGAAGCGGTTCCGAAACAGCAAAACACCACCTAATTTCGTGCCGAAAATAACGAAAAATCGCGGCAGAAAACTACCTAACGTCCCTTCTGAAATCCTAGAGAATCCTAGATCTAGATCCAGATCCTAGATCTAGATCCAGATCCTAGTTTAGATCCTAGTTCGAGAATCCTAGCTGGGCCAGCCGTTTCAGCCGAATCCCTCAGAATCTCCGGTAGCTAGGCCAGCTGTTTCGGCCGAATCCCTAGAATCGCCTAAACAATATTACAGAAACCTGCCTAACGTCCCTTCTGAAATCCTAGAGAATCCTAGATCTAGATCCTAGTTTAGATCCTACTTCGAGAATCCTAGCTGGGCCAACTGTTTCAGCCGAATCCCCCAGAATCTCCGGTAGCTGGGCCAGCTGTTTCGGCCGAATCCCCCAGAATCGCCTAAACAATATTATGGCTGGGCCTACTGTTTCGAAACGCTTCCGAAACAGCAAAACACCACCTAATTTCCATCTTCTTCCCTTACGCGCTCCCCCTTGCGTCGGCCGGGGTCGGCGGATACTGGTACGGCCAATGGATCTATGCCGAGTCACACCGGATTGCCATGGCATGCTCAGGCTCTCCGAGACTAAGCTCCCCGAGGACACCCAGAGCGGATCCTCACAAGTTCGCTTCTGGTGGAGGCGGGGTGTGTTTCAGATCGAACCGCGAATCAAGTCTGGATATACCACATTATACCACTATGATTATATACTCATATATGTCACTATGATTAATGTTGGTGTTGAATTTTAAGCTGCTGGGTACAGCGATTTGTTTCTAAAGGGATGAGAAGGGGGATGCAGATGACAGGCTGTTGGTATGTTGGCATGTCCTACGCTGGCCAGCTGTTGAGCTATGGCTATATCATGCTATATCATTCTCAGATTCTCACATGAGTTCGTGTTCGGAAACGTTGTACTTCATACTGTATTTAACGGGTGGTGTCCTGATTGGCTAAAGTTCCAGTTGCAGCGGCATTTTCCTGTTGTTGCTGCTACCGCTGCCACGGTATTTGACGCTGTGGAGGAGGTAACCGCTTGGAGGTCCGCACGCATCCTGAAGTTGGGGTTTATGTGGAGAATCTGCAGGAGACATCGGCAAGATGGGAGCAATTGATTTTGGGTCATTAGTTTGTATAGGATTTTTACATATTTTTTTAGGCAAATGAATCCGTCAATCCTGATTTCGACTCATCAACCCCACTGATTCCCTATTCAACCCCATAAGACGCATGGTGAATATCAAACTGCACCGCACCACAGGAGCTCCCTGTGGAGAATCTCCGGGATGTGGCGCGGCATGTGGCCAGAGGCGCCATGTGGCCAGGGGACCACTTGTGGTTGAGACCCCAATCAATCCATCCAAAATCAGCCCAAAGGATCCAAGAGTTTGAGGTTTAAGACAGACTACAGTACCAGTGACTACCACAATATTTAAAAAAATGGTTGAGCAGGAACGGCTTCAGGCTCTTTCAAAAGGTCTATTTGCCATCGCTGTGCAACAGTTTGAAGGTGAAGTGTAATGTAGGGACATGTAGGGACCACAGTGGCTGGTACCTATTGTCTCATTGCAAGCTGGTGCTGTGGGAAGGTGAAAGGGCAAAGAAAGTGGAAAGGCCAGGGGTCGGAGTGATTGTTTGTTGTGGTCTTTTGCACGGAGTGGCATATCTTTGGATGATGTTTGAACATTTCGTGAGTTCATGAAGATATCCTGGGACCATCTTTACCGATCTTTGATTTCTGTTGACCCTCAGTAAGTACTCAATTTCAAGGCTGGCTAATGCTGGCCATCAGCCCTGCTGGCTCGTTGGAACTTGGTTGTCCATGCATTGTCTCTTTGAGGAAGCCAAGGGCTTCAGATAGCAGATTGTGGAAGATTATTGCAGCACATGGACGCCAATATATATATATATATATACCCTCTGGTTATTTAACATAACCATGGAAAATGGTCCATTTATAGATGGGTTTACCATGGTTTACCTATCAAAAATGGTGATTTTCCATGGCTATGTTAAATAACCAGAGGATATATATATATATATATATATTATATATATATATGTTTTAACATGTTTTAATGTTCTGAGGCTCTGTAATTCCGGCATGATGGCATGGTCCAGGACCACAATGAACGATCGATCCAGCCGCTCTCACACCATCTTCTCCTTTAAGGTGCACCAGTTGGGTACCAGCTGGGTACCTTTTGGAACCATTTGGACAGACTCCTCATTGCGGTTTGTATGGTGAAAGGGTTGAAATGGGTTGAATATCTCTATATATAGAGAATTATAGAGATACGTGTGTAAATTAATGTAAATTAATGTAAATTACAGTTAGTAATTAAAACAAACAACCAGAGTTTGCTACTGTGGTCCAGCACCAAAGACCTGTGCAAACGAAATGCTTGCTTCAAATTTCAGGTCTGGCAACCCAATAGCTTTCAGAGAGGGGTATGTTGCTGTTACGTTCCAGGAACTGGTTCTGCTTGGCAAGACGTCTTAAAACCCTGCGTCATGGGATTTATTTGTGGTTTTTAAATATATTTTGTATGTGTGTTGTGGGCGATGTTTTTTGAGGAGCAGTTGTGGATGGATGAACTTCTTTCCTCACCGGTATTCTAATGTCCTCCAGTGTTCTTTTTTTCTCCGGTGCCCACTGATTGAAGGATGGGGGTGGGTTGCATGTGTTTGGACAGAACATGATTTTTTTTTTTGGGTGTGTGTTGAAATGGTATATACTACTCATTGTTGAGATCCACGAGTGTATTAGTTTAAGACTTGTCATTTGTATGGCACCATTGCACGCAATCATCAGGTGGAGTTGCGTGGTGCAGCACAGCACAACAGCCTCTCCAACATGCAGGCGTTGCCCCGTGTCATCCGTGCATATATTCATACAAGTGCCCCCGCACACAAGTCGGAGAAGAGTTGTCACATTCATATTGGTTAGAGAAAACAGGTACTACTTCAAGATGCATCAGCTGCATCCACAGGAATATGTATTCAATTGTATTCAATTATCACAGTAATCATTGTAACTCCAGAAAACATGAAAGGGAAGATCAGCAGAATTCCATGGCCCCAGTTCTCCCAGCTTCGGATGGATCGGCCACCAGATCGTGGACCTTGCGGGCCGCGAGAATGAGCAAACCTCCGAATGTAAGGATGAACGCTTCCGAGAGCTCAGGCGCTATGGGAGTTATTGGGTTTGTAATTTCACCTAGTAGTCACACCATGTCATAACATTTGCAGAATCAGCTCTTTTGGGGCATCATGATGATCATGCACCCGCACATTGTATATTATATATATATGTTATATGAGTTATATGTATATATTATATGGTATATATATATACATATGTACATACACACAGGACCCCGAACAGACAGAAAAAATAGAGAAAGAACATCGAACAAAATTGACCAAGTGGAATGACAAACAAATTGTCATTGACCACCACATCCTGACGACTCAAACCAGGTACATCAATCGAAGCCTCTTCGAATTAGCCAATTGTATCTTCGCTCTTTGTGATGGCAACCGCGAGCATGTGCCATTTAGGCTGGTCCTGCAGCTTTTCCAAAGGGTTGTAGGATAGCCGTGGGAAGAGACTGATAAGAGACTGAAGAGGTGTGTTGTCGGTCTTTCGGTGGATAGGAATCTGAGTTCCAACACGCGCTCAACATCACTCAACCATATTACACGATGTGATTTTCACCTCTTTATTTATAGAAAAATGCAATTCTGTAGCGCAGATGGTTGGAGAAAGACTTCGTGAAAGAGAATTGTTCTTTTCCAGTAATTATTTGCGATCTGCCATTTTCCCAGCAAGATTTGTTTTTTTGCGTTAGGATCGACATCAACTGAACATTACCACTCCATGCCACTGACACTTATTTCAACTTATTTCTTTGATTTTCGACTGGCTATTGGCATACACGCTCCATCGTGCTCCAAATTGTACTTGGTTTGGATAATTAATATGCTTGCTGAAGATTCAATGCCCGAGCACCTTAGACAAGCATGTGTCGCATACATAGCTCAGACATATTCAGACTATTTTTGTTGGTTCCATCAATGTGGAAAATCGGTTTTGATATCCTTCCGTCAGGTTTTGGATTTATCATGCTTCAAAATACGTGCTTTCATATTATACTACAATCATTTACAACCTAAATAGATATCATTTAAATAACAGAAACATAATACTATATTAACATATCATCTTCAAATATGGGTTTGTCTGAAAATAGGCTTCCCCAATTCCAACAGATTCATATCATTTTCATTCAAACAAAGGCCATTGACTGGGCATACCCCATTTTCTGGCACAACCATATCGACATATATCAACCACTATGAACCAATCATATGTTGGAGGATCCTCCAGAGAGTTCTCGCAAAGCCTGCGACCTTTCCAGGAATTCCAAACTGACCATGCTGCCTGGGACCCTCAGACAGGGCACCTACCGTGACCGTAGTTAGGCTTTTGTAAAGCTGGTTGGTGGTGGTTTTCAAATGTTTCAGATATCACACTTTAATACACTATATAACTATATATATATACATAGGTAGAACAGGTACAGTAGCCTTCCGCCTTTGATGGATGATGATCCCCAATTGACTAGAAGTTTGAAAGGGTTGCACGATTTTGGCAGTAAGACTCATATATTCGTAATGTGTCTGGGCTGGTGGCTGGTGGTGTCTCTGGGTCAGAATGGTATTTAACACATGGCAACGTATGCAAGGGCGAGGGCATAGAACCACACAATTTGGATGTAGACAACAATATATGATAATGCCACATAAAGCGTCACATACAGAGCATCACTTCCATAGGCATGTTCAGTATGCCATGCAGGTGGGCATCCAGATGCAACTAAAGGGATCCAAATTGGGGGCCCAAAAAACACCTGAGGCTCTCTGACAGTTTGTCCAGCAACAGCCGCACGACGTTACTTGCAACGTTGACGCCCAGCCCAAAAGGCGTGGCCGTCGTGGGATGGGGAACCATAGCCCAAAATTGGAATGTTAACGGGGAAAGTGATAAACCTCCGCAGATTTTTGAGTACCCGAGTCTTGAACATACTGTTACTGTTATATCGTGACTGTGGTAGGTGACCACCCCAACCATGGACAAAAAATCCTAGGAGACTTCATCACCTACTACACTGTTGTCGCCTAATCCGCTGGGCTACAGTTTTAGTTGCGTTTGTTGGCACCCAAAAATAATCGAAGAACATGGGCGCATGTTTTGGTATGATGAGACTTAGAGATCAGAACATCCAAAGTTCCCATGCAAGGCTGAATTGGAAGTCAGACGCAATCAGACGCAGCTTGTCGAAGGAACACACTTTACTGCACCCCAGCAATCCTTTGATAAGGTACAGTAGTATGATTTTCCGTTGGGTGGCTAGGTGTTTCATCCAGACCAGGGTGTAACTAGATAATGATGGATAATGGGCGTCATTGTCACATCTCATGTCACAGCAGCCACCCTGCAGAGGCTTTGATGAGAACATTTTGACCTGTCGCTTCCTGGAGTCGACAGGCTCCATGGGCACAGAATGTGTGTTTGAAGAACCACTCTGGGGCATCCATCTCTGTGTTCACATATGAACACATACTGTCATGAGTGTCATAAACCGCAAAACTCTGGGGATTGTGTATATTGTTTGCTGGAGCTAGAACTTGAGCAGACGCATTGTGATCAAGTCGCAGGTTTCTGGGCATTTGTGCGACCACCCTTTGTTTCCTCATGAGGCTCAAGGTGCCATCGAGGCATCCCAGCTGCTACTGTCACAAAAAAACAACAAGTGCTTTATCAATTGGCCCATGGTAGGCCCAGTTTGCAACAGCTGTGGAATGAGTTGTTCCCCCTCTCCAGTGCAACCATACGAAACAGCTTGGACTGTAATTCTTGATGCTGTGTGTCTACTTTTCTCATGTGCCATCTCCATTCGGTACAAGCTATGACGGGATGACGGTATGTCGTATCCAAAGCAAGTGCAGCAAGTCTCAGCAACGACATAGATCCAAGATGATCCAAGAATGTCCTTGCACTCCTGCTCCGATTCCTCCGTTTTCATGGCACATCAGTGCAATGTATCTTGCTGGAGAGAGCTTTCTGTGGACTGGATTATTTGCTTATAAGTCCAAGTGTAATGGTCGTGGTACGTGTTTTGGACGGGTAGGTGTCACACTCTAGGTGAGCTGGATGCATGTTCTAGTAGAAATAAGGTTGAACAAGGAAACTTTCGTGAATTACACATTCATTCGCGTTCCATGTGCCGGATCTTGTTTCTGTATTCTTCTGCTATTGCTAGTTGTCGGGGTTGGAAAGTGCCTTTTTTCCCTAAGGACAACTGATGGCGTGGAGACGAATGACGGATTGCAACCATTGACACTGCAATTGGATGATGACAGTTTCATGTGCCACGACATGCAACGAAATGCCACAACATGCCATGACATTCGGCAAGTGGCAAGCACATGCCCAGTAGATCATAGTACACCATAGTAAATTCAAGTAGTTAATGTCAAGTGAGGATTAATAATACCCCCAGGATTAATCAACCACCATTACCCCCGTCCGGGGTACCTAAATAGAATGAGGGGGCTGGAGCCCCTTTTAAAATAAAAAATAATAAAAAATAAAATGAAAATAACATGGGTCAGACCCCAGCATTTTATTTTGTGGGTGCATTTTATTTTTTGAGGTGCCTAACCCATCAAGTTAACTGACAGAGATAGCATGATAGCAAAGATGCACAGCTGGAAACGGTCTGATCATTTTGTGAAACATTCCAGAGATTTGGAATTACTTGGACATTAACTTCGAAAATGGGTTGGCCCCCCCTCATTTTCTATTGCCTTCCTTGGTCAACAAAAGACACACGGGCAGCTTACAGCAGCCAATGAGATTTCTTAAGTTTATTTATAGTTATTTGTATCTTTTCTGGAAACCGTCCAGATGTCAGAAGTGGAACCAATTATATATATATATATTATATTGATCGAAATCCGCGCAATTTTTCCTTCCTGTTGGCACGTGAAAAGGCTAAACAAGACTAAACAAAACTAAAAAAGATCAACCAATCAAATAAGGAAACAATGTAAAGGACTAAACATGCTGGGATACGTTGGAGGTTGGGTCTTGCAATTTTGGGGGTTTTCGAGTTTTCCTTCAAAGATGGTTAAAACCAATCAAAGAAGGAAACAAGACAAAACAAGATCAACCCAAAAGAAAATGCCGGAGCCTGAGGTCCAACAGTTGCATAACGTAGGTCCAACAGTGGCCAGGTGGAGGGTGCCTGACGTCATTTTCTTTTTGTACCTGTCCATTGTATTTTGCTTGGGTTTTCCTATCTTACCTTATGCCCTCTCATTTTATTGGCATTTTGTCCTTAGGCCCCTGCATTTTATTTTATTTTTTTAGGGGTTCCACCCCCCCCCCCTGGCAACAGACGAGGGTCACCATTGCCCAAAAAAAAAAATGTAATTTAAAAACAGGTGGTCCCCCAGGATTAATAAACCCCCCCGATTAAAAAACCACCAGTGCTGAAATCATTTTTTTATCCAACAAATTTTTATTTCCAATTCTATTTATTTCCAATTTGTTTTTACCTTTTTTTTAATCATCATTGTTATACTTAAGGTTTAAGTTGATCATTGAAACATTCAAAAAATGACTATTCCCCAAATGATCGATTTCTAATTAAAATCTTTATAAAAATCATCAGTTTGGATAGCTCCCAAAGGGTACCCCCCATGAGCCCATGTCCCCCATTAATAATAACCATGGTTTGCCCCCGATTAATCAACCACCTTTCTGATCCATGAGATTTTAACAAATCCAATAGAATTCTATTAAGATCTAATTGACGTAAGCCATATCCAAATTTTTATGGTTCAGAGTTGCTTACTATTAAGGGGTGGTCAAGAAAACCAGTCAGAAGGTACCCCGCTACCTTCTGGGGGGAGGGTTTATTAATCCGGTGTTGGCATTAATGTGTTTTGTCCTCAGGGTGGAAATCTGGCCGGTCCTGGAGCGGAACAATGGTGCATCTGCTGCATCACCTTTCCACCTGTAGGTTGAACAGTCCAAGCCATGTCAAAATGCCTCAGGTGCTACCTGCCGCAGCTCTTTGACGCAGACGCCGCAGCAGGGGCCTTTGCATCACTGGCTGAGACCCTGAGGAATGCCACGACCACAATTCCATCCCCACCCAAGGAGGGCCTGGATGCTGGATGACACTGCCAGATTTTGCTGGATCTGTTTGGGGCGGTTTGACAACATGACAATCAGAAAAAACCATTCACTCTATTAACTTGATGAGTTCGGGATCTCTGAGTGCCAAATAAGACTACCAGAGGGTATGCCACTTACATATGATGTGCGATGCCAGGATACCTCAAATGCGAATGACCGCGCACAGTTCTTCGCCAGTGGTGCCTTTCGACATCCAAAGGTGGCCCGACTGAAGGTTGCAGTATTTTGCAGTATTTTGCAGTATTGTTCTCAAGTGAATATGCTGGAACAATCTGCCGTTTTTCAATGCTGTTCATTTTTTTCTGAGTTTGCGCCTGCACTGCGCCTGCACGAGGACGGCGCAGAGAGCTGCGACTTTCGCTTCAACCCCAGATGGTGCCTTGCAGGTCGGCCCTTAGAAGGAGAGCCCCTCGGACATCCCGGTGGCACCGGTGAAATGGTGATGCTCAAGCAGTACACTCTTGTGACACATTACAAGATTTGCTAAGATTTTGATATAGATTTTAATTTTGCATGTTATCATCAAGCTTTTCATGAAATTTAGGGGCCTTTTCTGGTCCTTGATCCTTTTTTAACTGGGCCTGTCCTTCCGCTGAGGAATTTGGAGCAGGTCTTGCAGCTCAAGCAGCTGGTAGAGCTCGAAAGCCTGCAGCTGCTGAGAGCTTTGGGATCCCTGGCTTGGTCAGATTTCATGATATTTATAGGATGTTCTCATATTTTGTCGCATTTCCTGGGGCTCATTTTGGGGGCAAGCTTGGGATGATTTACAGCCCGGTACCGCTTTAAGCACTTTGAGGATCTTTGAGGTCTGTAAGCTATATAGAATAATATATGTGAATAGTTTGTTCCCAACATGTGTGAGTAACCGTTTGTATTCCTGATTGGAATTTGTTGTTCTTTTGATCCCAGCTCTTTCGAAGAAATATATGATGTGAGTGAGGTGCTCAAGAAAGAAGTAAAAACATTATTAACGAGGCAAAATGCCCAGAAGGTACCCTCTGGTAAACTAACATAGCTATGGAGAATCACCATTTTTAATGGGAAAATCAACTATAAATGGTCATTTTCAATAGCTATGTTAAATTACCAGAGGGTAGTGCAAACCTTGATTTGTTTGGGATGTGTCGGATTCACCACCGTGCCGGCGTCCCAAAAAGCACGTCCCAGTGCTT